ACAACTGTTCCTCTTCCTTTGTATTTCCATGCTTGAAAACTCAACCTCCTTTGCCATCTCTGTTATCTAAATGTTGTACCTAGGGTTTTCAGAGGCCTGCTATTTCAGAAGTGGATGGCCAATCCTTCTTCCTAGTCTATCTTAATGTGAATGTTCAGATTAAGAGAAGTATTAGACTAAGAGAAGTATTAGATTAGAAGAAGTATTAGATTAAGAGAAGTATTAGGGATTGTATAACAATGAAAAAATTTTTCTTTTACTTTTCAAAGAAAAGAGCAAACTGGGGGGAGGAATGGGCAGGGAGATAAGTGCAATAATGAATGAATGGAAATCGAAAGTCTCTGTAAACGGTCATTAAAATTAATAATAATAAAAAAATTTTTTTAAAAAGATGTGGCAGTATGCTTCCATAAAGCCTGCAACCATGGAAACCAACTCTACAGGGAGTTTCTCCTGTGTCTTACAAGGGATGACAGGAGTTAAAATTAATTTAATGGCAAAGTTGGGGTTTGTTTTTCACTATTTGTTTTAAATATTAAGACAGCTATAGAAATGTCCCTGGTAGCTACCAATGCAGAACAATTCTCTGCTTCTTTGTTTACTTGTCCAAAGATTATGTATCCTTTCTAACATCCACTGTGGGATTTAGCTACACCAGGGGGTTTATTTTTAGCATTAAACTCCAATTCCATTTCAGAGTGGCAAATTTCCTATAATCTTTCCTGCTGTATATGCATAGCCAAAGTCACAGAACCACTCTGAAATTCCCTCGGGTCTTGTTTCTATGAATGTCTAACTCATCCTCATTAAAAACTCATTGCTGTCTAGCTGGAACCCTCCACTGGGTTTCTGAGGCTGTAAATTGATCCCTTAGAGCTGCTAGTGGATTCGAAGCACCTGAAAAGCACTGCCGTTGGGTTAGTAGCTCAATTCTCTATGGACCTCACCATCAGTGGTCCCTTTTCTTATACTCTTAAAATCATTGAGTCAGAACTGACTCATAACTACCACTCTAATGGGCTTTCTGAGCCCGTATTTCAATTGATCTACTTTCAAGCTTTATTCTCAAATTGCTGCCTCTTTTCCCATTCTCATTAATGGCCAGGAACCTGACATCAGTCTTCTCAACTACTTATCACCTACACAGCATTCTCCAGTCAGCTATCAAACCATGTAGACACGTAACGACTGACACATTTCTCCACAACCTCTCACCGAGGGATCTCTTGGTACACTATTACAGTGTATTATGTTAATTTTAAGGAGCTCTGGCTGGCATAGTCCATAAACTGCTAATCCAGAGGCACGGTGAAATCTCAAGAGCTTCACCAGAAGAAAGACGGATAATCTCCTCAGGTGATTTACAGCCTTGGTTATCATTGGACAACAATAAGGCTTATGGTTTGGCTGGTTGTGCTGTGTGGATTTTTTTTAAATAATATTTTTTAAAATAAGAGGGTATATGTTCTTCTTTGATGCAAGAATAAATCAAACAGAGTTACTTTAATGATTATTAATCCAACTACTAGAGTGCTCTTTGGTTGTCTTCAGATAGAAAGCATTGATGATTACACCTTTATCCAAGAATCTAATATCTTAGAGTAAATTAAGTCTTTTTTAGTTTTTTTTAAACTATAACTTAGTTTTCTTAACATTTTGTTTCGATTGCAAAAGCAATAGACATAATCATAGAAATCTCAGAAAATGTAAAAAGTAAAAAAAAAAAAAAGAAAAAGGTATGAATTAATGCCTAGAAATAATAATTTTTAAACAACCAGAAGAAAATAAACATTGGAAAATTCTTTCTAAATTAAATAAACTATTTTATCACACTACAGCCTATGCTTCTAATATCGTGAAATGGTATATTCTCCGTTATTATGTAAGCTCTATGAATTTAGTTTTAGTAGCTAGAGAGAAATAACAACAAAAAATTAAGCCTATTAAATGGGAAAGATCCAGTGTGAAAAACAATGTATACGAATTATGTAAGTAAACCAGTAAAAAATAAAAATTTTATTAAAAAAACACCCACAAACTAAGCCTACTGCTGTTGCTATTTTCTTGTAGACTCATTTTCAATTTTTCTATTACTATAAATAATAATATACCAAAATCTGTATATAAAAATATTTCTGAAATATTTATATAAGAAATCTTGGGGGAAAATATGTATGTTTTTCAGTATTATCGTTGTTTGTTGTTATGTGCCATCGAGTCACCACCTGTGACTCATAGTGACCATATGTACAACAGCCCTAAACCTTGCTTTATCCCGTGCCAATCTTACTGTCTCTGACACACCACCCCCATTACCCCAGTCAATGAATCAATCCGTCTCATTGAGGGTCTTCCTCTCTTGTGCTGTCCTTCCACCCTCCCAAGCATGACGTCCCTCTCCAAAGACGGTCCCTCTTTCCAACATGTCCAAAGTATGTTAGATGAAGCTTCATAATCCTTGCCTCCAAGGAGCAGCCTGGTTTCAACCTCTCTAGGCTCAACTTGTTTGTTCTCTTAGCCATCTTCCTCAGCACCACAGCTCAAAGTCATCAATTCTCCTTCTATCATCCCTAGTCACTGTTCAGCTGACTGGGTAAATTATTAATAGTCATATATGAAAAACTATGCTGCCATTAAAATAAAAATAATGGATAAGATTCTCCATATATTAGAAGTTAAGAAATTATTCCTGGTTACATAAAACTATTAACAGTGACTACCAATGCTTGATGCAAGTTCAAATTGAAGATAAAGTTAAATCCACAAAAACCAAAACACAACTTAAAGTCTATGCCAACTAAATTAGAAAACTACCTCAATAATTAGTTTGAGGCATTGACCACTAATGAATGAAGGCCAGATGAGCTGTGGCATGATACCAAGGATACCTACCATCCATGAAAAAAAAAACCAAAAGGTCACTACAAAGACAAAGGAGAGAGAAAAGATCAAAATAGATGTCAGAAGAGACTCTGAAAATTGTACTCAAACACTGAGAAGCCAAAACAAAAAAGGCAAGAAATGACAAAATAAAAGGGATGAACAGAAGATTTCAAAGGGCAGTTCGAGAAGACAAAGCAAAGAATTATAATGAAATGTGCAAAAAACTGGAGTCAGAAAATCAAAAGAGAAGAACTCATTCAGAACTTCTCAAGGTGAGAGAACTGAAAAACAAATTCAAGCCCCAAGATGCAGTACTGAAAGATGCTATGGAAAAATTTTTGAATGATCCAGCAAACATCAAGAGAAGATGGAGGGAATACACAATCCCTGTACTGCAAAGAACTTACTGTCACAGAGCCATTTCAGGAAGTAGCATATTATAAAGAATCAGTGGTAATAAAAGAAGAACTTCAAGCTGCTCTGAAGAAAAGCTGACTGGAAGAAATTCCTATTTGTTCTCATTCCTAAGAAAGCTGATGCAACAGAATATAGAAATTATTGAAGAATCCCGTTACTATCAGATGCAAGCAAAATCTTGCTGTAGATTATAAAAAAAATGGCTAAAATAGTACATCAAGAGATATTGTGTCACTACGGATGTCACTGCTGATGTAATCTGAATTTTGGTTGAAAGCAGAGAATACCAGAAGGATATCTACTTGTGTTTTATTGATTATGCAAAAGCATTTAACAATGTGGATCATAAGAAGCTAACATTAATAAAAATGAGAATCCTGGAAATCTTAATTGCTCATATGAAAACTATTCATAGACCAAGATGTCCAGAGTAAGGAAACACCCCAAGGTCCAAAACCAAAAGATGTATCCGTTCGCCATATCTTTTCAATCTGTATGCTAAACAGATCATTTGAGAAGCTGGACTTTATGAAGAAGAGTGTGGAATCAGTATTGGAAGAAGAGTCATAAACAACCTGCATTATGCAGATGATGCAACCTTGTTTGCCGAAAGTGAGGAGGGCTTGAAGTCCTTGCTGCAGAAGATCAAGGACTATAGCCTTCAACATGGAATGATTAAGAACATCAAGAAAACAAAAAGCATCCCCACCAAGTCAATAGGATGCATCATGATAAATGGAAAAGGGATTGAAATTCTTAATGATTACATCTTACTTAGATTCACAACCAACACTCTTAGCACCAGCAGTCAGGCAATCAAAAGACCATATGTATTGGAAAATTCTGCTGTCAAGGACCTCTCCAGAGTGCTAAAGATCAATGATGTCAGTTAAGAAACTAAGGTATGCTTCATCTAAATCATGGTCTTCTCAATTACTTCCTGTGCATCTGAGAGCTGGACCGTGATTAAGGATGATAGAATTGATGCCTTTGAGTTGTGGTGTTGGAGAAGAATACTGAATATCTTATGCACTGCAAAGACAACAAACAGGTCTGCCCTTGAGAAAGTGAAACTAGGGTCCTCCCTGGAGGCAAGGATAATGAAATTCTGTCTCATATACTTTGGGAATTTGGTCAGGAGAAGTCAGTCTTGGAGAAAGATATCATGCTTGGAAAGGTAATGGGCCACTGCAAGAGAAAAAGATCATTGAAAAAATGGAGTGATATAGTGACTATATATAGCATTAAGGTCAAGTGTGTGAGAGATGGTGAGGTTGGCTCAGGACAGAGCATGGTTCAGAGCTATTGTTCTTAGGGTCACTATGAGTCATAGTCACCTTGATGGCACATAACAAAAACAACCTGTCCTTGACAGTGAGAGAAAAGACAAATAATTTTTAATGTTTATTTTAGTTTTACAATTCATATTTCTATTATGTATTTTGAAAATAATACAAAGAAAATGTGTGTGTAATGATTTTATAAGCATCTTTCACAGATTCCCCATTTTGGATAGAAACCTGGAGGTAGTTTTAAAGGATCAATGGATATGAATACTTAAGATTTAAGCTTTTTAAAAGCAAAAGATATTTTATATTTTTAATTTTGAAAGGAAACTATTTCTTAAAATTACCTGAAGTGCCATTATGGTTAAAATATTCAACTTGTCTTTGTGTATTCTGAGGTGAGTCACATGTAAGAATTCGTAAAGTATCTGAATATCTGAAAAACAAAACAAAAAAGGAACAAATTAACATTAGAATAAAATTGAGGAAGCATGGGTACAAAAAGAAATTAGATTCCAAATGGTTACAAATAAAAATTTCCCCATTGTAGCTATTTGTTCTAAGACATTTATGTCATATTTACACATAAAAGTACCATTCCTATGTTGGCTAAAAAAACCAATTACCAGTAGGGCTGGTAACTGCTTAAAATGCTTTCTTAATTATAGAGTAAATCAAAGGGCTCTAACACTGCTGAAGCTAAAGTCTGTCTTATGATCCTATTCCTGAGTCTTTTTTTTCTAAACATTTTTTTTTTAATTTTACACTTCAAAGTTTGTATAACCCCATCTGCCTCCACTTCACTTACAGAGCACACACCATGTACAGATACCACTGCTTCAAATGCTTTACAGATAACAGTTCAAATCTATGACAAAAGTCCTACAAGACAGGCATTATTATTCTTCCCATTTTAAAGTTGAGGAAATTAATATTTTGCCTTTGCCTCTGTGATATGAAAAACAACTTTAAAAGTACTGAATTAATGAAAATAAGCAATCCATCTTCCCATCCTCCTGGTCGATCTCTGTGAACCACACTATATCCTGACACAACTCTCACAAAAAAGTTGTTAGGTGCCATCAAGTCGAGTTCAGCTCATGGAGAGTTTGTGACAGACAGACTGAAACCTTGCTCTGTCCTGCACCGTCCTGTCATCTCCAGCACACTCAAAGGCACTGTTGTAGTCACTGCGTGGATCCCTTTCTCTGTGGTATCCTATCTTTCACTGACCTGCTTTTCTAAGCACATGCAGCAGTAATGTATTTGAAACGAGGATATCAAGAAAATCTTCCACGAAGAATGCAAAAGATCATTACAAAGGCTAAAGAAGAAGAAAAGACCAAGATGGATGTCAGATGAGACTCTGAGTATTGCATTAGAGCGCCGAGAAGCCAAAGCTAAAGGAAGAAATCAAGAAATCAAAGAGCTGAATAGAAAATTTCAAAAGGCAACTCGGGATGACAAAGCAAGATACTATAATGAAATATGCAGAAAGTTAGAGTCAGAAAATCAAAAGGGCTGGACTCGCTCAGCGTTTCTTAAGCTGAAAGAGCTGAAAAACAAATTCAAGCCACGGCTGGCAATACTTAAGGATACTTTGGATAGAATGTTGAATGATCCAGGATGTATAAAAAGATGGAAGGAGTACACAGAGTTACTGTATCAGAAGGAATTGGCCGACACAGAGGAATTTCATGAAATAACATGAGCAAGAACCTATGGTGATGAAGGAGGAAGTTCAAGTTGCTATGAAGGAATTGGCAAAAAACAAGGCTCCAGGATTTGACTGCACACCAATTGATTTATTTCAACAAACAGA